ATCATAGAAAGGACGAGGGCCGACGGCGGCGGATACCAAAACCATCGCACTATATAAGATGCAATAATAAAAGTAAGAAAATTATACAAGTATCTATATAAACATACAAGTAAGAGTTTTTTTTCCTTTCAGAAAGAAGATAAGAACAAGAGGCTCACCACGGTGGTGCCAGCGACGAGATCGGCGCGGGCGATCGACGGCGGTGAAGACGGGGACGGAACGTGACAGACCGCTAAACCTAGACAAATATTGAGAAAAATGGAGCTTGGAGGTGGAGCTTGGAGAGGAGAAAGCTTAAGTAGTGTGGCTAGGGCATTTCATCGAACACCTCGTGTGCATAGGAGGTGAGCTAGAGCAGCACAAAGCTTTCTCCTCGTCGGCCACGAAAAACAGAGCAGTGAGAGTGCTCTACTCGCGGGGTATATATAGGCAATTAATTGGTCCCAGTTTGTGGCTTGAACCGGGACTAAAGGGAAGCCTTTGGTCCCGGTTCAGGCCACCAACCGGGACAAATGGTGGTGGGCCAGGAGCAAGGCACATTGGTCCCGGTTCGTCCCACCAACCGGGACCAAAAGGTCCAGACGAACCGGGACCAATGGCCCACGTGGCCCGGCCGGCCCACGGGGCTAACGAACCGGGTCCAATGCCCCCATTGGTCCCGGTTCTGGATTGAACCGGGACTAATGGGCTGACCCGGCCTGGACCATTGCCCCCTTTTCTACTAGTGATCCTACTAGTTGCATGCTGCAAATTTTCTCATTAGCTATGGCTAAAATTCCTCAGGATGATGACTTAGTAGAGTTGTATGGATACATAGCAGTGCGGGATGATCTGGATGTGTTGCTTAATTATGTCATCAATATTAGCAGGGATGATCCCATCATTGTGGAGAAGGTGCACATCCTTACTCATATGCAATTATTTGGAGGAATAAGTCCATCCTAACACCTCCTAGCATCAAGGTTTGCCAGCTTAACCTACTTAATTATAAGAACTTAACAAAACTTGTGTCTGCCCATGAGGAGAATGTTTCACCCATGAGGCTCGTTAGGTGGACACTGCCACAGGGGCAAACCGCTCCAAAGTCTATGATTTAGACATCATGGAATTCACAAGTCAAATATCAGATTTGTGTGTTTAAGTAGACCGGACCTTGATATTCAAAGGGGCCAAGTAGATTTATCCTTATGTTGAACTACATTATTCACTTCGTAATATAGGCTGGACTTATTACATCCATGCATAGAACACTACATTCTCTCTAGACATGCTGCAACAGCCTCTCTCTTTTACATCTGTAAAGTTAGGGTAGATTGTGAATTTTGTATTATTTGTGCTCTTGAATTATGTAGTAAACATAAAGCTCAGTTTTCACTCTTTTTTCTTAATAACTAGAAATAAGATTACTTTACTGTCATTGTTCCATGACTTTTTTTTTTGTTATAACTCATGTAAATATTGTGTCTTACCTGCAGGAAAAATGCTTCCCCGTGTCATTAGTCTGTTCATAAGTAGCAGAATAGTAGTATAATACTTCAGATTGTATAAGCGAGTACTATACTAGTATGAAATGATGGTTACTATAAGAACAATTTTAAATAATTAAACTAATGGAATGTATTCCAAACAAGTCGAACAGAGCTCCTTTGGGTTCTTGGTTGCTTTGTAGTACACTACATGAAATGATTTAATTTCATTTTGTTTGTAGGCATATGAATAAACATAAGATCAATTACCCCATCACTAGAACATTCGTTTTTTTATCTCACACAGACTTCTGTAAATAAATATTTGGGTTTTGAAACAAAACAGGGCCAATTTTCCCGGTCACACCATTATGCACTCTGTATCCATCTTGTTGAATGCATGACAAAGATCTTGGTTATCAGTTGTAAGATCTAAGTAAATGTTTTTACATGTGAACCATTATAAGGGAAGTATCTAGCTTTAGATATGTCTTACTTTTATGCGAAGAACTACTAAATATAATATTAATTTTGTAGGGTTCTCTCATCAGCATGGCTGGTGGCCCTAGGCGAGGGATATATATGGACGATGATGGTCTGATTGAGTATGACATGAGGATCAAGAGAGGCAGGCAAGAAGGAGATGACCTACAGGTGATTGACGGCGCAACAATCTTAAGCCCTTGGGGCACATCGGAGCGGCCATTCACATTTAACATCTCTGGCGACTGTGGCGGTGCAGTCGCCATAACTTTAGCATATCTTTCCAGCGCGGTTGAGGCCACAGTAGAGATTCTTATATTAGAAGTGCAGAGCGGTTTCCATATGTGTCTCAGATGTTTTACCAGTGGGTGTTATGACGAGATCCGGCTCTTCGATGGCGCTGTTGTCAAGTCTTGTGCCCTGAAGAGGTATGTGGTTGCCGTAGTGAGGTGGTCATCCATACGTTTGAAGTTCAAGATATGCACAGAATCATCCGGATCCGAGTTCCAGCGTCGTTGTACCTTCAAGGCGAAGACTCATGGGCATAACACTCGAGAGATAAAGACTGATTTTGCGCTGATCTCAGTGAAGGTCACTTGGTCGACGCTCGATGATGCCTGGTAGCTTTCCTGGCTGAGGTTTGTCCGACCGTAAACGTGTGTCCGTGATGAGCGGACCAAGGGATTAACAACGTATTTAGGCAGACCGGAGTCGTGAGCTCGTGACAAGCTTGGAGTGTAATCGAACAGTTGTACTATCTACGTACATATTCGATCCAGCGCAGGTGCCACGGATGCTCCACACTTCCACAGTCTTGCCGTGTTCCACATTTTGTTTCTTCTTTCCATTGTTTTGGCAACACGGATTAGGTCAAAAACATGGAGGATATTTCCCAGCTACACATCCACAGGATGGCTTCACGGTGCATGAGAAGAATTGGAAAAATGAGAGTGAACGATGTACATGACTCCTGTTTCTGACTGATTAAAATGTTCAGTTCTAATTTATCAACTATTCATTATGAATGCTGTGCATCTAAACTCGGTATGGAAGCCATTCATGACGAAATTGTGCTGTTAAAATTGGACTCGAGTTTTTCCTTGTGAAATAATGTATATGTAATTATGACATTTAGCAGTACCGCGTGTGGTGATTGCATTTTGCCTAGCTGCACTCTATGCTGAGCTTTTGAGCCATAATTGAAGGGAGAATCTTGTTGATTTTTTAGGTAATACGTTGCGTTTTAGACCTTTTGTTTCACTCAGGACTGGGGTGGGTATTGATGCCGGGTGGCTTGTGAGTGTATTAATGTTTAGACCGGAGTATTTGGAAATGATCATTTATTCTAAAAAAATTAAGCAGTTTTAGGACATCCTAGCTTGGAGAAATGCGGAAGGGGAGCCTTGGCGCAGTGGTAAAGCTGCTGCCTTAGCTACATGCACCGGGCTGCCCTAGCTTGAAGAAATGCACATGATGTTGTATTGGTGGTTCAGATTGGGCACTCCCTAGTTGCTCTATAGGCCATCATTATACACTGAGGTTCAGGGCCTTTTGCTAAATTAACTCAGGTGCCTTGGGTCCCTTAAATTTTCATAGAAAATTACATTTTAATTTTCAAAACTGTTCTTAAATTTCCACAATCACATATACACTTTTGTAAAAAATATGTTGATTTGACGGCTACATAAAAGAAGACAAAAATGTGGATCTAAATAGATGTTGTATTCACCATTATAGACAACACTTTTTTTGTGCAACCAATAAGTGAAAATATTTATTAACAAAAAGCTACATGTATGTGGATCAGACATAGATGTACATGTCGATTTTTCTCTTTTATCTAAGATTCAAATCATGTTTTCATTTTTTTTAAACTGCAGGACCCGAGACACTAGAGAGCCAAAACGCTTTTCTCGGTTGAGGAGGGCTTTGAAACTGTACACATATGTTGAGAGCAATAAGGAGAAGGCAACATCCATATTTATGTGTTGTCTACTTATCGTCTACCTCGGCGTGTCTCGTCTTGCGGTCTATTTGGGAGCCATCAAACTCTGACATATGTTTTTTGCTTTTTATTGAATTCCTTTTTTATTTCTTTTTTGTTGTTCTTTGTTGTTGATTTTTATTTTATTTTTATGTCTTATAAGTTTGACTTTTACTTTTTGTCTTTGATTTTTTATTTAACTTTTTGTTATATGTTGGACTACAAAAGAAATGTTCATGTGTATGATAAATAAATGTTCATGAATCTCATGAAAACAAATGAATCTTTAAGAAACATTCATGACTCTCTAAAACATGTTCATGTATATATCTCACAAAAAATAAAAGAAAACATAGATAAAAATAAGTTGAAATATTCATGTTTAGCAAATGAGTGCTCATTTATTTTACAAAAAAGATTCACGTATTTCCAAATGAAATTCTCATTCATCAAATAAATTGTACACATATTATTTAAATATTCATGTACTCCCTCTGTTCCTAAATATAAGTCTTTTAGAGATTCCACTACAAAACTACATACGAATGTATATAGACATATTTTAGAGTTTAGATTCACTCATTTTGCTTCGTATGTAGTCCATAGTGGAATCTCTAAAAAGACTTATATTTTAGGGAGTAATTGGGAACACATATTCATGCCTAATAAGGGATGTTCTCTCGTCAATTCGACCAAACCATTAGCAGTTTGAAAAAAAAACGAAAAACTCGTAGCATTGACAAGTTATCCCTGATTCTACATATTAGTGAAATGATTTGTTAGTGGAATTAGTGAAATAATTATGTGTTACTTTTTTCAAAACAAAAAAGAAAGGCATATAATTTTATCAAATTGCCATAAAACTGGAGCCCAGGCCGGTCCGTAAGTATGGCCCACGGAACTGCGCACCACCTCGCGAGCCGTAATTTTGCCTAAAAACCCCTCGCGAGTCGCAATCCTTCCTTTTGCTGCTGCTCGGGTGCCGTACTCCCCTCTTCTCCAAACTCCGAATTCGCAGAGGCTCCGCCGCTCCGGCCGGCGAGGCTCGCCGGCGTAGCCAGCCAAGGATGGCCGCCAACTTCTGGGCGTCGTCGCACTCGTAAGTCTCCGGCTCCCGGTCTCGATCGATTCGGTCTTGCCCGTGATGGCGCGGATTGATTGAAGCATCTAATTTGGCGTGTTGTGTGCGCGCGCTTGATCCGGTGCGAGCAGCAAGCAGCTGCTGGACCCGGAGGACGTGGACGTGGTGCCGGCGGCGGACCGGGAGCGGGGCATCACGACGGAGGAGTTCCGCCTCGTCAAGATCCACATGTCCTCCCGTACGTGAGCTCCTCCCCGTCCCTTGCTCGCAGAGTAGTATTCCCCTGATGCAAATTACTCCCTCCGTTCCTAAATATAAGTCTTTTTAGACATTTCAAATGGACTATAACATACGGATGTATCTTGACATATTTTGGAGTGTATATTCATTCATTTTGCTCCGTATGTAGTCACATGTTGGAATCTCTAAAAATACTTATATTTAGGGATGGAGGGAGTAGTTTAGTTTCTCAGCAGTGTAAATGTTCATTGTGACGCAAATGTTGAGCAATTCCCTACCGTACCTTTCGAATCAAGGGCGAAACGGATCGTACGATGTTCCTTCTAACTTGCTGATTCAGAAACACAAATTTGTGATCTCCTTGTTTTATAACAGTTTTTCTGTGATCACAAGTTGTGCAATCGTTTGTGTTCATTAATTGGCAGTCCATACAATCAGTCGTAGGTCCAGCGCAATTCATTTCCTTCCATTTGCAGCGGCCATAACATGTCACTTCAGAGCTGCTTGATTTGCAATATTTTGTTCTTACGGAGCAAAGCAATTGTTGGTTTCAGATATATGGCGGTTGGCGCAGCAGGTGAAAGTTAGACAAAGGTTTGACCTTGGATCCACTGCCTGACCTGCACTTTTGTTTTCGATTCTGTAATGTCCTATTTAGACTCTAATGAACCAACAAAACCTATGTTCTGCATTTAGGCTATTTTGGACTTAGCATGCTTTCCTTTTACGCTTAACCAAGGGAGAACTCCAGTGTTTTACACTTGCCAAGGAAATGAAAACAATGCTTGCGTCTATCTACTACTCCCTCCGTCTCATAATGTAAGTCGTTTTTTAACACTACACTAGTGACGAAAAACGTCTTACATTATGGGACGGAGGGAGTAATAAATATTTTCAGTTACTTTACTGAAGTGGTTACTTCCATATGGACAAGAGTTATACATATTAGCGTACAAAGTATTGACTTATTACAGTATTAGAGAAACACATTCATACTTTCGCTCATCAGGTTTCATCTTCCTTATAATATTTCTGCATAGTTTGTTTGAACTTCAAGATTGATATATAAACTACCTACTTTCATTAAAAAAAACATAAATAATTCGCTGGCTCAGTTGCATTGTTTGTTGTGCTTTATGTGTACTGTTTATTAATCACACGGTTGTTGGGGCTGTTCTTATAAGATTAGAATTGCCATTTGTCCACTAACATGCAGTACATTTTCCTCTCGATTTTTCTGGGATTAACTCGTGATCCCGATGATCTTAAATCATTGCTATTTCAGAGTCATAGCTACTGCCATCACTTACTTCAGGCGTGTCTATACAAGGTATGATTCTCACCTAACAAGGATACATGGGGTATGTAGTTTCTTTCTATTCATCACAAAGAAAGAGTGGCCCACCCCTCTGATCTCTGATCTCTTGCCTAAATTTGACTATCGTTTTAATTAGCTGGAGAAAGGAAACTATGATACTACTTTTTTAGGCTGTAAGGTGCTGTGTTCCCCTAGGATCTAAGATGGTCAACTTACTGGACGTATGATGTATCGTATACTATGACTGTATGACGTTTTGCTGTTTCTTTATTTGTTCTGATGGGAAATTCAATGCTTCGGTCAGAACCCTGTAAGATTTCATGCTGCTCCCATCACCCAATCAGAACTCGTGATGTTCTAGATATTAATGGTTCTCAACTTGCTTCAATCAGAACTCATGTGCAGTGGCGGAGCTACGTTGAAGGCTGCAGGGGCCATGGCCCCCCCAACCTTGGTCAAATTTGTGAAAGAATTTTTTTTGGGGAGAGGAAGATAAGGAAAAATAGAGTCTTTTGGCTTGCTAAACACCCATGTTTATGTTTGCCCCCCCCCCCCAAAGGATCCTACCTAGCTCCGCCACTGCTCATGTGTATCATCTAAACTTACTACTATGGAACTTTTCTGTAACTATAAATTTCAACTGGTAGTGTTCTTAACATCGAGGATCAAACTCGTGTTTGTATACTTTATTTATTATAATGGTTCCCAACTTGCTTCAATCAGAACTCATGCGTATCAGCTAAACCTAGTACTATGGAAATTTTCTGTAACTATAAGTTTCAACTGGTAGTGTTCTGAACATCAAGGATCAAACTCGTGTTTTTATACTTTATGTGAGCAAAAGATGGACATGAAGGTTTATTTCGTTTACTTGTTTCTACATTTCTCTCTAAACCAAATTTAGTACTTTATGTAAGTAGGTATACTTGTGTCCTAATGCTGAATCTTTTACAGAAAGAGCATGAGTGAGTATGACCCTCGTTTGGTAGCCCCGGCTTGTTTATATTTAGCATCAAAGGTAGAGGAGAGCACAGTGCAAGCAAGGCTTCTCGTCTTCTACATAAAAAAGATGTGTGGTAAGTCTCATGAATCATGATCATACAGGTACACAGTTTACTTGGAAGAGCTGCACTAACGGTTTATTTGTTCCCCTCGATAGCAGGTTCTGATGATAAGTACCGATTTGAAATTAAGGATATTCTTGAAATGGAAATGAAGCTCCTGGAAGCGCTTGACTATTATTTAGTTGTTTACCATCCTTATCGTCCTCTTTTACAGTATGATTCTGTCTCCTGTGGTATCTTATACGAGTAACAAATGACATTTCTTCACTGGAAGTAGGGAGCCTCTTATAGTCTGTTCCCCTAAGAGAGATTTTCTGTTTACAGTTTATTGCAGGATGCTGGCGTAACAGACCTGACACAGTTTGCCTGGTAAGCACTGCTTCATGAATGAAACTATGCCGTAGCATTAAATTGATTTGTGAATGCTGTTATTCTGGAATTGAACTTCTAGACCTTTATAATTCAACCACAGTCGCATTATTATTATTTTTGTGCTTTGTTGACCTTTCTATCTAAGAAGCTACAGCTTCCTCAAAAAAAAAAAAAATCTAAGAAGCTACAGTAGATACAGTAGATATTTAGATTTTAACCACCAAATGTCACTCAAAGCAGACTTCTCTTTTGGTGTCCTTGTTTCAGGATTTCTCCTAATATATATTTTGAGTTTATCAACGACATTTACATTTGGCATTGATGTTCTGAATATCCTTGATAGAACTGTAGCCTGTAGGATTATGGGGACATATGATAGAAGTACCAGTACCTCAGCTGAGTTTTCCTTCTCATTTTCTGTATTACAGCACAGTTACTCAGTTAGTCAATAAGGCGATAGCTTTTATCTCGGATCACATGGAAAACAAATACAAGTGAAACGCTTCTATCATGCTTAATCTTCAACTTGGCATATATCTATTCTGATCAGTCATGGTTACTTGCAGGGGCCTTGTCAATGATACTTACAAAATGGACCTTATTCTCGTACAGCCTCCCTATATGATTGCATTGGCTTGTATATACATTGCCAGTGTTCTTAAAGATAAGGATACAACTTCATGGTTTGAAGAACTTCATGTTGACATGAACATTGTAAGCGCATGTTTGTGGATACCCCTTCCCCCTCATAATACCCATCCAATTGATCGAGATCCATTTGCAATACCCAGGTGAAGAATATTTCAATGGAGATACTGGACTTCTACGAAACCTACAAGGTTGACCCCCAAAGGGGGCTCTCCGACGAAAAGATCAGCCCGATAATGAACAAGCTGCCAGCAAAGGCCTAAAGTAGATGTTGTTCTAGTTAATAGTAAATTCTTAGACCTACTATTGCAAGTGACCAGCGGATCAATTGTGATGCATCTTTTCAGAATGAAGAAACCCATGATAGGGAATAGCTTGGATGCGCTTGTAGTAGTCTGTGATACTTGACATTTATAACTGCTGTATTTACAAAACAAAATTACTTCAGTGTGTCTGCTTGTTGGCATGACTATGAAGTTCCCCTGGGGACAAGATCATCTACGTCCTCAGCCATACCTACCTGGGCAGTATGGTAGCTGATAAAATGCCAGGGCAGTCACTTCAGAACATAGCACACCACTGAACAGAAATACCAAAGGTGCAAAACCCTCGCATTATCTCAAACGCAGTTACATCGACCAACTATGGAGAAGAAAAGGGTACAAGGCTATTAGCCTAATACATACAACATTTTTAAGTTGCCGCAAACAATATAATGGAAGGCTACAGGCAAATTTGTTAAACCCATTTCAGGCAGAAAGCTATCCACTCTGTTCATCAGGCTAACCCCATTTCAGGCAGAAGGCTATCCAGTCCGGTCATCAGGACGATGAACTCCTACCGACCCATTCCCATACATTCATCCAGGTGATGATGGTACACAATGCTCCCCAGCAGAAGATCCACCATGGTTCTCCCTGGGAGGACTCCTGACCCTGACGATAGATTTCAAAGTGATAGGTTCATTTTAACACATCGAACGGACCTGTATCTGATGAAACTGAAGCTCAACAGATTAAGGCGTATAGAAACTGAAAGGACTCACCTTAACGGGAGGTGTTAGGAAGGTAAATGCGATGGAAATTGTTCATCTTCAGGTGCTTCCGGCAGGTAGGACATTTCTTCTGGAACTGGATGGCTTGCTTTATGCAGTTAGTGCAGAAGATGTGGCCGCACATTGTTGTGGCGGGCTCATCCAACTTGTTCCAACACACCGGGCAGGTGAAGATGGGTTCCTTTGGAGCCACATCCAGAGGCTCTTTGCTAGTTTTCCCCGCATTTTTTGACTGCCAAAAATTGGAAACACAGGTAGCCAGAGTTTAGCACAAATCACGAGGCAGCATGCTAGTAGGAACTGGACGCCAGGATTAAATGTATAGAGCAGCTTTCTTAGGAGAAAATATCCTATAGCATAAGTTATAAACTACTCCCTGCGTCCTAAAATAAGTGTCTCAACTTAAGTACAAAGCGGAGACACTTATTTTGGGACGGAGGGGGTATAAAGTAAACATGTTAGTACACTGTACCTACATAACAGACGGCAAAATGCTTCTTGAAATTTAACAATTGCAAAATTTTCAGTGCCAATCAAGAGTCTTAACCGTTGGCCACTCGAGAACAATCTGGACAGGTCTATGTGACATCATCAGAGAACTGCAAGTATGACTTGAACATACAACGAGAAATTCTTTCAACTTGATCAAACATAGTTACACCCTTAGTCCACTAAAAGGACAATATAATGCAAAACTCTATAGAACGAACAAAGGGGTGCATCATGCACTAGATACCAGCTGTTATTCACATAAAGGACAAAGTAGAGAACAACTAGTAAGTAATCACTAATCATTCATCAAACTGGACTTAAAGCTAAGAGAGTTTAATCCCTTCAAAAAAATTTAAATACCTGTAAGCTGGACCCTTCTCCTGTTTCAGGAGAGATGTTTATTACAGGGGAAACTCTTGGGCGTTTGTTCCTTGTGTTATGAGAAAGCACTGTTGCATTATCATCATGAGACACTCCTGATTGAATAAACAATGAGGCAGATCAGGAGGCTTAAGTGACAGTGATATATAGTCAGACAGCATATTGACAAATACTCCCTCTGTCCCAAAATAAGTGACTCAACTTTGTACTAGTACAAAGTTGAGTCACTTATTTTGGGACAGAGGGAGTATTTTACAACTTCCAGTTGTGGTTTCCGGAGTCAGCATCAATATATATGTATCACGTTGCAACAGGAAGTTATTATACAGGAAATTAGCCACAAAAGAAAGCCACGGGTCCAATTTTCAGCATAGCTCATATATGTCTATTCCCACTAGAAAGTAAACTTATGTCACATGGTATAATCAGCACTTACGGTCATCTTAGCAGCATGATATAGGTGATTTTTGATAAATTGGATAGTTCCAGAAGAATTGATTAGGCAGATCATAATAGAATGATGGAAGAATATACCAAACAATTTCCGTAATGTTAGAAGCCAAAACAACTCTACGGAATGCAACATAGTAAGACTAAGTAGCGAACTAACCTTGCCGGGTAGCATGTACATCTAGATCAACTACAGTCACAGGCTGCCTCCTAGTTCTGCGGTTCCTCCTCTGCAAAATGCAAGATGACTCAATATAAATGCCAGAAATGATGCATCACATTCATGTAACAACCAACTTGTAATACTCTTCCTCAATATGAAGAGCTTGTGTGCGTCAGAATCATAAGAAGTACAAAACCTATTTGAAAAGTGAATGTATACACCATGGTCCTTAAACATCATTATGAACTTACTGCCTCGCGAAGTTACCTGAGGAGGCACTTGTGAAGCTGATACGACCTGCACTTCATCCTCGAGGGCTTCCACGTCAATGGGTGAGGTGCGCGCGCCAGCGTTAGATGTTGATACTCCACGACGGCTGCCCGCCGCTGGGGGGGTTGAGACCAAGTTCACGACAACCTTATCAGCATCTTGTGATTGCCTTCTTGAGGCACGTCGTGTGCCGTTGGCAGTACTCATGCTCCCTTCAGCTCCCGAATCGACCTGAGACTGAAAGAGATGTGATTCAACAGTTACTTGCTTTTACGATAAACTATCTGTCAAGTGCCAACTATCAGCAAGCATTTTACCCTGTGACCATCTTTGCAGTATATACATAAATCAAGGACATCGATGCTCAGATCAAACTTTGGACCGTCTCGACAAAGCTACCGATGACCAACAATGCAAAATCCAACCACTCGTTCGTGACGAAATTTGAACTAAAAAAAAGAAGTCCCATCCGGGGCAGTGAACTGAAACCACGAGCAGTAACAAAATCGGGGGATAAACCCAACGACTTGCTGAATCCCACAGCCGGGGACCATCACCACGACCCTCAGCAACCGTAGGGCAGCGAGCTAGAGCACGAAACTAGCAGGACAGCGCACGCAGAGATGCCCCTGATTTCCCGATTCCTACGGTAGCCGCACCGAATCGACGGCGAATCTGGCTAGGAGTGGACGAATTCCGCCTCAGAATCGTCGGGGAACCCGCGCGGGGACCCAATCGAAGAACAGCTCCCGACCCGCAACTACCTCGCTGGATCGGCGCCTATGGGGCAAATCCAGCGGAAATCGCCACGAGCGGAGAAGATACGCGCCGAGACGGGGGGACGTACCGCGCTCACCCGACGAACCGGAGCTCGATCGGACGAGCAGAGGAGGCGGCCGCCGCGCCGCGCCGCGCCGCCGACGAGTGCACTCGATTTTTTTTTCCTTCGCTCGGCGCCTCCACCTCCTCCCCTCTCCCTGCCCTGCCTGTTTTGAATGAAAAGGATGCGAAAGGGGGAGGAGACGAGGTCTCGCGATAAAAAGGCGAACACGTCTGTCTCTTCCCCATTTGGGCCCCGCCTGTCAGGGCCCGCTATCTTGGCCCACGTCCGTGTGGGGCCTGCCTCTTTTGGGGGCCCGTTTCCAGTGTGACGGGACGTTGAATTTTCCAGTGTTGCGGAGCTGTCCATGGCGGCCGCGGCGCGAGACCGGCGGCGAAGGGGCCGCGCTCTCGGGGCTGCCTCCGCCGCTGCCGCGGAAGACGACGGGGAGGAGCACCACCTCAACCCCTTCCTCTCGGACGCGGCGCCGACGTCTTCGAGAGTCCAGTTCAGGTGCGTGCTCTCCTCTTGCGGATCTGTTTGCTACTTCTGCTGGTGCTCTTATGGATAGTTCAGCGGGTTGCATTGCATGTGTTGTGGAGCAGGAACGTGGCGTCGCGGGCGCGGTGGGTGGAGGAGGCCGGCGCGGCGGAGGTGTTGGACAACAAGGGGAAGCTCTGGCTGACCACCGGCGTCACACGGGGCGGCAGGCTCTACTACAATGTCGAGGAGATCGGGTACGCTACCTGTTTGATGAAATGCCGCGACATTACAACATGGTTATTTGCTCTGTAATATGCTACCGTGGCCGTTGGGGCTTCTTATCAAGCTGTGTGCATGACGCCTTTCATCTAAGAAAATGCAGAGCGTGTCCTGGAGTCCTCATGCTTGAATCAATATGATTGTGCTTGTCTAACCCACAGTGTGGACTAATAACATGATCATCACTCAAACGTTCAGAGAGTCAATGGATGAATTGCATGGCATGGCTTTTGTTTTTAAATATTTCGACTTGCAAGTTGAGGCGTGTTGGCTGACCAAAACTATGCAGGTTTTTGGCAGAAAGAGGGGCATTGATTTTTCTCGATGATGAGGGTGCGACAATAGGAATGGAAGAAATCTATGGAAAGATTGCAGGAGGAAAATATGGGTGCTCCTGGGATGCCTTTCAGGCTTACAAACACTTGAAGTTGCTTGGCTACATTATCGGACGATATGGTGTCCCCTGGACAATGAAGCATAGCCCTACTTGTGAAACCACTGATTCCCTCGAGGGTATGCCTGACACTGACCAGAGTTTCAATAGAGCCAATGGTGTCCGCAATGGCATCACGAAATTGCTCGGAGAAATGCACATAGATGGGTTACATCCATCCTTTGAAGTGTATCTACCAAATAACAAATTTAGAAAGTCATCCCCTGGAGCCCCTTGTTTCCTCCTATCTATGCTAAGGTAATGTTACTTTTCTCACGTGCATTTGTGCTTAGAAAGCAGTGCATTTTCATCTTACAGTAGTTCATCTCATATGGTTTGTTTAATATGGCAGTGTAGGATCACAAGGTTTTCTACAAGAGTGCATAAATTGTTCATTGTGTGTTTGATATGATTTTAATCTCTTCTGGTTTGAAATGGATGTTCTGAAACTTCTGCACATTAGGCATCACGATTTATCTATCAGGTGTTATTGGTTGTCTTTCTGTGCACATGGATATCTTTCTTTTGTGTTGTTAATGTATTGTATGCACATATACATAGATTTAATACTTTGCTCTGTTATCACAGTGGTTATAATGTTTTCCCGACCCCGTGCCGCTCCCGCGAGTGGCCCGGGCGTAGCCCTAGACCCTCGCCGCCGCCACCCCTCACCTCGCCTCTCCCCTCCCCCGCCGCCGCCAGGGGCCGCCGCCGGGCGAAGCCCGTGCGTGCGTGCGGCGGTGGCGGCGGGTTTCTTCCCTCCCCGCGAAACATCCGGTCGGCGCGGAACGGCTGGCCTCGCGGTGGCGTGTCGGGCTGGCGGCGGCCTGGGGGTGGCTCCGAGGGGCGGCGCCGTTGCTCTGCTCCTCCGGGCGGTAACCTTGGCGCGCGGCTAGGCCGGGTGCGGGACGGCGCGCGGATCTGGCGCGGCTTCGGGCGGGCTCGCGATGGCCGAGTCGTGCTGCTGAGGTGGGGGACGCCGGGGCGGCGGCCTCGGTCCGGGCTCCCGGTGGCTTGGGCATGGACGGCGTACGGGCGCGCGGCGGCTCCTGGCTCCGGATG